AGTTAAGTTTCAACTTTTAATTATGTAATAAGATATCTTCTGGATTTGTATGGTGTGGGCATGGCTGAACATTTATAATGCGGCTTTAGTAAAATGGTTCGATTTACACAGAATATATCAAAATGCTGTGTATAATGATAAGTCCTTTATTACGCATCAGCAAGCTGTGTTAATGGTATGAAATTAGTTTGTCTTAGATTTTAGATTCCCACAAATATCTGGTCCCAGCTGAGATCTGTAAAAAAAACACTTTCTTTTTTTGTTAAAAGTTATTTTAAAAAAAGAACAGCATTTTCAGTTTTAGAAATGAATATAACTCCCGGAGATTGTTTTTCCTTGGTATTAAAAAAAAGGGTTTTGCCAGGAAAATCCACTGAAAGAGCGCTGTCTGTTTTGTAAGATGTAATTACAGAGAAAAACATTAGCAAGAAAATAATATATGTCAGATCATCTAGGAGCAATCCTAATAACCTGACGTGAATACAGTAAACTCAAACAGACACTGCTCCCCAATATTTCTCTGTTTGTTTAACACAAATGTGACCACTGTCAAATACCAGACTTCTGTCAGCTGGTCCACTGGACTTCTGTCTGCAGAATTTTCCATATACTTTAAATTCCTTTTCTTCTGCCAGGCTTCTGCGGAAGACCACAGTGCCAATCAGGACAAATGGTGATCCCTACTCCACCTGGGGAAGCATGCTTCCCTGGGATTGGTGGTGTCTTGGCCACCCTGAGCATTGCCCCAATCCTGGCTCACGCTGGGAGTTGGGAGCGGTATGGGGATGTTGGCAGGAGGTTTAATCTGAACAGGCGCTCCCTTCAAAAGCACAGTTGCTCTCAGTTAGTGTGTTTGTATGTCGTTCTGTGCTCTCAGTTATTGTTTGTGTGTTGTGCTATGCTCTCAGTGTTTTTCTGTGTCGTTCTGTGCTCTCTGTTATTGTGTTTGTGTGTCGTTCTGTGCTCTCAATTAGTATGTTTATGTCTTGTTCTGTGCTCTCAGTTAGTGTGTTTGTGTGTTGTTCTATGCTCTCAGTTAGTGTGTTTGTGTGTCATTGTGTGCTCTCTGTTATTGTGTTTGTGTGTCGTTCTGTGCTCTCAGTTAGTGTGCTTGTGTGTTGCTCTATGCTTTCAGTTAGTGTGTTTGTGTGTTGTTCTGTACTCTCAATTAGTATGTTTATGTCTTGTTCTGTGCTCTCAGTTATTGTTTGTGTGTTTTCTATGCTCTCAGTTAGTGTGTTTGTGTGTCATTGTGTGCTCTCTGTTATTGTGTTTGTGTGTCGTTCTGTGCTCTCAGTTAGTGTATTTGTGTGTCGTTCTGTGCTCTCAGTTATTGTGTTTGTGTGTCATTGTGTGCTCTCAGTTAGTGTGTTTGTAAATATGGCTTATGTACCCTGACTGTGTTTCCTGGATTTGCCCCTGTGTTTATGTTTTAGACCTAGTGCTCATTGTAGACTTTGACCTTGCTTTTGGATTCCCAACATATTTCCCAGTATCCCACATCTAGAGCTCCCATTCTATCCACGGGACAATTTGTTCCGTTTGACTTTCATTGAAATTTTGTGCCTTAAATAATTATTAAGAATGTCTGTCAGTCTGCTGGTCTATCTATCGATCTGCCTGTCTGTCTGCCTGTCTGTCTGTCTGTCTGTTGGTCTGTCTGTCGGTCTGTCTGTCTGTCTGTCTGTCTGTCTATCTATCGTTCTGTCTATCGTTCTATCTATCTAACGAATGTTTTTTTTTTTTTTTATATATTTATATGAGCAGGGTTTGCGTGCAGACAGAACACGTTGGAATGACAAACCCTTGCTGTATTACTGTGCAGATTGTGTTCCCATGCTTCCGTGGACTGCCTGCTGTATGCCTGGCAGACAGTGACACTCACTGACTCTCAGTGTAATTGATTATAAAAACCTACAACCCTTGTCTTATATTTGGAAAGGTGACGATACACCAGCTTATTACCTCTGCCCAGACCTGATCTCTTCTTCACACTGGAACTCTAAGCTATTCTTTCACAAAGATAAGATGTGTACGAGACAGTGACCAAAACGACTGCACCATCTCACGGCCCTTTTTAAATAGATATTAAGAAAACATACTTTATTTATTGCCATGTGAATAGCATTTTACCCATTGAAGCCCTGTAGTACATATGTTTATATTTTCTAAACAATAAGCAGAATGAGATTTAACATCGTAGCTCCTGTATGCACTATACCCTGAGAAATAGTAGACATTCTTTATATTATAAGAATAGTGGAGAAAATAATGCAGAGAATTCCAGCCTGGCCTATGGTAATCATATTTACTAAACATGGATTTTAGAAGAAAAGGTGGTTTTTAAAACATGACTAATCAGTTTACATACCACTGTCTGGAACACAGAGATTGTGCACTATTCTGGTTTTGTAATCCAGTCTGTTTCCTTTTTGTAATCTGGTATAAAGAGCTTACAGTCTATTTCAGTCTGTGTCATCTGACGTAATAAGCTTGTCATCTAATTCTTAATTATTTACTCTAGAGAGCAGACATTTATCTTAGCTCTGCCAGACTAAAGCGCGTTTTAAAGAATACAAAATATTTAGGCAACAAAACCTAAATTGTTAAACTTTTATTCATGTAACAGATTTTTTTTGTTGTTGCCATTTTATGTGTCTTTGTTCATAATACCTCACTGCTCCAATAAGTGAATCATTATTATAGAAGGCACCATATGGGTCTGGAGTTTCTGTCCACCTTGGTCCCTTCTATCTGTGTACCAGGTGTCATAGTGTAATGGTGTCAGGTATGCTAGCGACATCTTGCTCCTACCAGGTGTCAGTTGTAATGGCGCCAGAACTTATATAGATTCGGGTCATTCTGGCATCATGGACGTGGCCCAAATTGTTTGTTCACAGTCACGCCATTCTTACATCAGTATTGTCAACCTCTGCCTTAGGAGCCACATCATTTTTGCTTCAGTATTAACACTACCGCCAGTTATGTCCTCATGAAGTCATTGGTGATGTAAAACCAGCATTCAGCCATTCACGTACATTCTGGTGCATGATGATGAAGTACCCAAATTATCTAAAAAACAGGGCCGTCTTTAACATGAGGCAAACGGGGCAACTTCCCCGACCCAGTTGCTCCTAGGGGCCCAAGGCAGCTGTCCCATGGGCCCCGCTGCCCTCAACAATTTATTTTTTTTCCCGCCAATGTGGCCTCCTGTCTTAGCTGTCTTAGTTGCATGCCACTAAGCAAAACTTATTTCGTTTGCAACTGTAGACCAGGGCAATCAATTAAGACATGGGAATTGAGATACCTGGATCTATATGCTGTATATATGAACAAGCACTCGCTCATCCGTATGATATTGAGCGGGCCTCTATATAAGCTGGAGTCACATGAGCTCTTATTAGTGCTGCAGCTGTGAGGGACAGATTAGGAATGAATTCTGGTGTTGAATCTGCAAACTACAGCGATTATTTTTGTGGGTGCTATACTACATTTTTGTACCCTGCCCTGAGCCCAGTGCCACAGATAAATAAGCAATCAGTCTGTTTGTTAGGTGGGCTCTTGCAACTGCATGTGTGCCAGGCACATTACTTTAATCCTCTTCTGGCAGCTCAGTGGGCAACATCTAGGCATTTTTAAATACTGTTGTACATTGCAGTTTGACAAATTCACATTTCTTTGGTGCTAAAAAGTAAATTTGGGGCGTGCACTTCATATCTGAGAGTCAAATAGAACCGTCAAATACTGCTGTGACATAGCAGTTTGACTAATTCACATTTTTTTGGTGCCAAAAATTACATTTGGTGCATGTACTTCATATCTGAGATTCAAATAGAACCGTCAAATACTGCTGTGACATAGCAGTTTGACTAATTCACACTTTTTTGGTGCTAAAAAGTAAATTTGGGTCTCAGAAAGGTCTCAGGCTCCTCCTGCTTCCTCTTCTGCTGCTGTCTCGGCCTCTTCCTCCACCTCTGGAGTGACAGTGGCACCTGCCACCCCACAAACAGAGGATGTGGCAGCAACGCTACCATGTCCGCCACCGTCCCCAAGCATCTCCAAACTGTCCCATGGAAGCGTTCAGCTGTCCATCTCCCAAACACTGGAGAGAAAGAGGAAGTACCCCCCTACCCACCCGCGATCCCTGGCTCTGAATGCCAGCATTTCAAAATTCCTGGCCTTTGAAATGCTGTCATTCCATCTGGTGGAGACGGACAGTTTTAAAAACCTGATGGCGGTGGCTGTCCCACAGTACGTGGTTCCCAGCCACCACTACTTTTCCAGGCGAGCATCCCTTCCCTGCACAACCAATTGGCGGAGAAAATCAGGTGTGCACTGCGCAAACGCCATCTGTGGTAAGGTCCATATAACCACTGATACGTGGACCAGTAAGTACGGGCAGGGACGCTATATCTCCCTAACTGCACACTGGGAAAATGTAGTGGCGACTGGGCCTGAGGCGGATAGCAGTTTGGCGCATGTCCTTCCGCCACCAAGGATATCAGGGCATTTCTCTTTGCCTCCTGTTGCCTCCTACTACGCTTCCTCCTCCTCTACCACCTCGTCATCTGGTCAGCGTAACACCTTTACCACCAACTTCAGCACAGCCAGGGGGAAACAACAGCAGGCTGTTTTAAAACTCATATGTTTGGGGGAAAAACCCCACACCATGCAGGAGCTGTGGACGGGCATGGAACAACAGACTGATGAGTGGTTGTTGCCACTAAGCCTCAAGCCCGGCCTGGTGGTGTGCGATAATGGGCGAAATCTCGTAGCAGCTCTGGGCCTAGCCGGTTTGACGCACATCCCTTGCCTGGCGCATGTGCTGAATTTGGTGGTGCAGAAATTCCTGATAAACTACCCAGATATATCAGAGCTGCTGCAGAAAGTGCGGGCCATCTGTGCTTTCGGCGTTCTCACCCTGCTGCTGCTCGCGTGTCTGCACTGCAGCGGAACTCCACCTTGCACATGCTGGAAAGTCTGTGCGAGCAGCAGCAGGCGATAGTGGAGTTTCCGCTGCAGCACGCACGGGTCAGTCGCTCTGCACCAGACTTGCCCTCCAATAGATCCTCGTTAAAGGATTTGAAGTGTACTCATTCCAATTTCAGGGCCTCGAAAGAGTCCTGTATTGTTATTTTTCGTCACTACCTCCCCGCGTCGGGAGTGGGTAATTTGCGCGCCTGCTGCCTTCCTTGAATGTGGTAGCCGTTTCTCAGACTCCCTCTCCGGAATCGAACCCTGATTCCCCGTTACCTGTGGTCACCATGGTAGGCGCAGAAAGTAACATCGAAAGTTGATAGGGCAGACATCCGAATGCGTTGTTGCCGTCATGGACGTGCGATCGGCCCAAGGTTATCTAGTGCCACCAAAGTGCCTGCGCAACGACTGCCAAGTTGCCCACATTCTAACTTGTACTGATTACTGGGTAGCCACCCTGCTGGATCCCCATTGCAAGGACAACTTGCTGTCCTTAATTCCCTCACTGGAGCATGATCGGAAACATAGAAACATAGAAACATAGAAACATAGAATGTGACGGCAGATAAGAACCATTCGGCCCATCTAGTCTGCCCAATTTTCTAAATACTTTCATTAGTCCCTAGCCCTATCTTATAGTTAGGATAGCCTTATGCCTATCCCACGCATGCTTAAACTCCTTTACTGTGTTAACCTCTACCACTTCAGCTGGAAGGCTATTCCATGCATCCACTACCCTCTCAGTAAAGTAATACTTCCTGATATTATTTTTAAACCTTTGTCCCTCTAATTTAGGACTATGTCCTCTTGTTGTGGTAGTTTTTCTTCTTTTAAATATAGTCTCCTCCTTTACTGTGTTGATTCCCTTTATATATTTAAATGTTTCTATCATATCCCCCCTGTCTCGTCTTTCCTCCAAGCTATACATGTTAAGATCCTTTAACCTTTCCTGGTAAGTTTTATCCCACAATCCATGAACCAGTTTAGTAGCCCTTCTCTGAACCCTCTCTAAGGTATCAATATCCTTCTGAAGATACGGTCTCCAGTACTGTGTACAATACTCCAAGTGAGGTCTCACCAGTGTTCTGTACAATGGCATGACCACTTCCCTCTTTCTACTGCTAATACCTCTCCCTATACAACCAAGCATTCTGCTAGCATTTCCTGCTGCTATATTACATTGTCTGCCTACCTTTAAGTCATCAGAAATAATCACCCCTAAATCCCTTTCCTCATATGTTGAGGTTAGGACTCTATCAAATATTCCGTACTCTGCCCTTGGGTTTTTACGTCCAAGATGCATTATCTTGCACTTATCCACATTAAATGTCAGTTGCCACAATTTTGACCATTTTTCTAGTTTACCTAATCATTTGCCATTTGGCTTATCCCTCCTGGAACATCAACCCTGTTACATATCTTAGTATCATCAGCAAAAAGACATACCTTACCATCAAGACCTTCTGCAATATCACTAATAAAAATATTAAAGAGAATGGGTCCAAGTACAGATCCCTGAGGTACCCCACTGGTGACAAGTCCAAGCTTCGAATATATTCCATTAACTACAACCCTCTGTTGCCTGTCACTCAGCCACTGCCTTACCCATTCAACAATATTTGAATCCAAACTTAAAGATTGCAGTTTATTGATAAGCCTTCTATGTGCAACAGTGTCAAAAGCCTTACTGAAATCTAGGTAAGCAATGTCTACTGCACCACCCTGATCTATAATTTTAGTTACCCAATCAAAAAAATCAATAAGATTAGTTTGGCATGATCTCCCTGAAGTAAACCCATGTTGTTTCTGATCTTGAAATCCATGTGTTTTTAGATGTTCATCAATACTATCCTTTAACATGGTTTCCATCACTTTCCCCACTACTGAAGTAAGGCTTACTGGCCTATAGTTGCCCGACTCCTCCCTATTACCTTTCTTGTAAATGGGCACAACATTCGCTAACTTTCAATCTTCTGGGACTACTCCTGTTAACAATGATTGGTTAAATAAATCTGTGAATGGTTTTGCTAGTACACCACTAAGCTCTTTTAATAGCTTTGTGTGTATTCCATCAGGTCCCATTGACTTATTTGTCTTTACTTTTGACAGTTGAAATAGAACCTCTTCCTCTGTAAACTCACGTGTAATAAATGACTCATTTATCCTTTTTCTCAACTGAGGTCCCTTTCCTTCATTTTCATCTGTAAATACAGAACAAAAATATTCATTGAGGCAGTCAGCTAGACCTTTATCCTCTTCTACATACCTTCCTTCTTTTGTTTTTAATCTAACTAATCCTTGTTTTACTTTTCTTTTCTCATTTATGTATCTGAAAAATGTTTTATCCCCCTTTTTTACTGACTGTGCTATTTTCTCTTCTGTGTGTGATTTGGAAGCTCTTATAACTTGCTTAGCCTCTTTCTGCCTAATCTTATAGATAATTTTGTCTTCCTCACTCTGGGTTTTTTTATAATTCCTAAATGCTAACTTTTTGTTTTTAACTATTTTGGCCACATCTGCGGAGTACCACAGTGGTTTCTTGAATTTTTTGCTTTTACTGACAAGCCTAATGCAATTTTCTGTTGCCTTCAATAGTGCAACTTTTAAATAATCCCATTTCTCTTGGACTCCATTTAAATTGCTCCAGTCTGATAATGACTCCTCTACCCATATTCTAATTTTAGAAAAGTCTGTTTTTCTAAAGTCTAAAACTTTTGTTTTTGTGTGGTGTGACTCAGCCACTGTTCTTATATTAAATCACACTGACTGATGATCACTGGATCCTAAACTTTCACCTACAGTAATATCTGATACCAAATCTCCATTTGTTAACACTAAATCTAGTATGGCCTCTTTACGAGATGCGCGACTACAAGCGCACGCTGGTAGACACGCTGCTGAGGGCATTCCCAACTGACACCGGGGGCTCAGTGGAAGCACAAGGTGAAGGCAGAGGAGGAGGAAGAGGTCGCCAACGCAGCTGGGGCACCACCAGCACCTCAGAAGGCAGGGTTAGCATGGCCGAAATGTGGAAATCTTTGTCAGCACGCCACAACAACCAGCACCACCATCTGATATGGAATGTCTTAGCATGAGGCAGCATTTCAGTAACATGGTAGAACAGTACGTGTGCACATGCCTACACGTACTGACTGATGGGTCTGCCCCATTCAACTTCTGGGTCTCCAAATTGAACACATGGCCTGAGCTTGCCCTTTATGCCTTGGAGATGCTGGCCTGCCCTGCAGCCAGTGTATTGTCTGAACGTGTATTGTCTGAAAGTGTATTCAGGGGACATTATCACAGACAAGCGCAGCCGCCTGTCCACAGCCAACGTGGACAAGCTCACGTTTATTAAAATGAACCAGGCATGGATCCCACCAGACTTGTCTGTACCTTGTGCAGACTAGACATTTATACCGGCCTCACACAGCCATTGTTATCCTCAAGTGCACTTATTCTTTGTTTTCTTTTTTTATATGTCCCAATATATCTGAAGCTGGACGTTCATACGCTCTGCATGAGGACATCCAGCGTCAGATTTTTCCCCAGTGTCAGATTTTTCCTGGCACTTATAGTATCCCTTTAAATTAGATAACAAGCTCTTGATCACATACTATCAGGTGCTCTCACTGGTTTTAACATATACAGTATATTTTTATTAATCATTTTTTATTTTTGTCCATTGATCATTTTGATCATACATTGACACTATTGACCCTTTGTTAGTTACAAGAATACATTTATATTGATCTCATTTAACACAGCATTTCACTCATGATTGGTTACCTGTGTGATTCGTGAATTTCGTCATTTAAATCTTCAGAAAATCAATAAAAATACTTTAATGTAATTTTTAATACATGCCATACAGAAGATACAGAAGATAAAACGGCTTTACATTCTAGGCACTTCTGGTGGTTTTAATGAAATCATTCCTAACAATATTCTCATAGTTGTGTTTGGCTTCTTTGCTCAGGGTAGAAGAGATCTGACTCATCTTAACATGAACAAAGTAATATGTGCTGTTTTGAGGATATCATTAGAACTTGTGCAAATATAGGATCTAGCACCACGAATAATAAGGAGAAATTATTTTTTTTACATTTTACAGTTTTTTACATATTGTTATCTAGGGTCTATTCAATAGCATAAGACTTTTTAAATCAGGGGGGCCCAAAAGGTAGATCCCCAGATGTTATAGAACTACAACTACCATGATGCTTTGCATGCCTTTAGAATGCTTTTAGAATGACAAAGCATCACGTAAGTTGTAGTTTTAAAACATCTAGGGGTCTACCTGTTGGGCACCCCTGTTTTAAATGATGTTGGCTGAATAAAACTGACCCAGGCTTCTGTAGTATCTTTCAGTCACAGATTTGATTCCCAACAAGGTCAACATAGCCTTTAATAATTCTGAGGTCAATAAAATGAGTACTATTAGAGGTACACACTAAGCGCCAACTTTAGCTTAATGGTGTGGCTTTGATGTACAGATCATGACCCTTCAGTCTCACTGCTCAATTCTCTCCCATGTAGGAGTTAAATCACTTTTGCTTTTGCAGCCCTAGTCACACCTCTCCTTGCTGAGACTCGCACAGCCTCCCTATACACTTCCTGTAAGGAGAGATCTAATGTTTAAACCTTCTTAATTGCACAATGTGTTTAGTTTAGAATTTCTTATCTCCTGCTCTGTTAATAGATTGCCAGAAGTTACAACAGCCTCCCATGTGTCTGATTAATGTTTAATTACAAGAGCAGGAAATATGAACTTGTGAAGTAAGCTATGCTGAAAGATCTTATTGAAAATTAAATTATTATTTTTTTCATGCAGGTTGTGTCAGTCACAGTCAGGGGAGGTGTGATTATGGTGGCATATACAGAATCAAAAGTGATTTAACTCCTACATGGCAGAGAATTGGGCCATGATCCATACACCAAAACTGCTTCATTTATGTTGTTTATTAACATAAAAACCACAGGATACACATGAGAACTGTTGCCAAATTAAAGGAACATTATAGTCACCTAAATTACTTTAGCCAAATAAAGCAGTTTTAGTGTATAGATCATTCCCCTGCAATTTCACTGCTCAATTCACTGTCATTTAGGAGTTAAATCACTTTGTTTCTGTTTATGCAGCCCTAGCCACACCTCCCCTGGCTATGATTGACAGAGCCTGCATGAAAAAAAAACAGTTTTCACTTTCAAACAGATGTAATTTACCTTAAATAATTGTATCTCAATCTCTAAATTGAACTTTAATCACATACAGGAGGCTCTTGCAGGGTCTAGCAAGCTATTAACATAGCAGGGGATAAGAAAATCTTAATTAAACAGAACTTGCAATAAAGAAAGCCTAAATAGGGCTCTCTTTACAGGAAGTGTTTATGGAAGGCTGTGCAAGTCACATGCAGGGAGGTGTGACTAGGGTTCATAAACAAAGGGATTTAACTCCTAAATGGAGTCTGCAGGGGCATGTTCTATACACCAAAACTGCTTCATTAGTCTAAAGTTGTTCAGGTGACTATAGTGTCACTTTAAAGGTACCTTTCCTGATGCAATACTTTTATATTATTATTTTTAATATATGTGTATGGAAATAAATACTCACTCATGCTGTCTTGATGAAT